AGTAAGTAAAGTTAAATCATCTGGAAATCAATTTATTAAATTTTAATTAATTGCAAAGTATTGCAAGAGTTACTTGGTGTGACTTAATTTGGCACATTTAACGGTTCAGTAATGTTACCTACTTTTTTTAAATATTACAATTAATTTTCATACATAGTTGCAAAAGTTATAAACAACGTGTAATTGTACTTAATTAAATGCCTTTTACCGGCTCCTGGTTAATTTCAGATAGTTATTTGAGACCTTTAAACAAATCGTGTTTAATCTGACAGATAAGTTCCTAACAGGCTATCAGGGACTTCACCAGAAAGTGGTAACAGGCCGTAACTGTTAAAAATAATAAGTTAGATCAAAGAAAAAATCATGAAATCAAAGTAACGCTCATTATAAAAATAAATTTGTCTGAAAAATTGCGCTATTTCAATGAGGGTTTTCGCGAATGAAAAATCGCGAGGACGCGAGGTCCAAATGCTGCATGATTGGTTATTTTTGACATGACATTGACAGATATGTCAAAATCACGCAGCAGTCAGACCCCACATCCACGTCCTGCCATCTAGCGGATCTTTCATTCGCGAAAACCCTCATTGCAATGAGGATCAGTACTGTTGTAGAAAATTCAATAAAACTAGTATCTACGTTAATCTTTAAGACATAAGAAAGATATATCTTTTTGAATTATCCAAATCTGACCATTACTTACGAAGATATTAAGTAATAAACATAGGCCGTTTTTGCCGCTAAAAGTCAACGTACGCAAGGCCGCGTGACGTCATTATATCCGAATCGAGCGCAGCCGGCGTACTAATGGGATGGAAAATATTTTTTTCCGGCTAAACTATCAGTTTTAGAAAAAAAAAAATTACCTATCGATAGCTTACTTTATTCTGATGAATAAATGTCATTACAAGTTTTTCTCTAAAACTGATAATTTGGCTAGAAAAAAATATTTTCTATCCACGCAGTACGCCGGCAGCGTTCGGATCGGATATAATGACGTCATCTTCCCCGCGCCGGGCGGTCAGTGAACTTTTTTAGTAATTTGGCCATAACTTCGTCAATTTTTGTCGTAGAACAAAAATTTTTGCACTGTGTATTAAGGATTTCTTAGCCCTATAAATCTGCATTCACAGCTAAAAATCGAAATGATCCTCATTACATGTTGTTTTTACAAGTTAATACTTCTGACCTGAATTATATGTATAATTTATAGAATACATAATGAGTATTATGGTATGTGCAAAAATTGTTTTCTCTAAAATTATGTAGTAGTATTTAGCTTCTTGTAGTCACTTTAGATTTAAACCGATCTGTTTCTCTATTATTATTATTATTAGTTAGTGCTGTAATGTACAAAACCGGGTAAACAGACCATAAATAAAATATGTATTTTTATAAAAATGTAGTTTTATTTGGTGTTGGGAAAGTTGGTGACATTTTAGAAATATATTTTAGGAGGAATGTGGGGTAAGAATGGTTTTTCTTTGGTGGCTATGAATTACTTACTTGATTATAGGTAGATTGGGCAAAAATAAATTAAAAGGTGGTGTTTCGGGATTCACAGAACTGAAAACAAGTAGAATTTCTTCTAAACAATATTCAATCCTTTTTTTATCATTACAAAGCATATTTTTGGTAACATCAGTCGTGCAAAATCTGAATTTCAGAACATAAACGTTGCAAAACTGTAAGCAAATCACTCGGAAACTAAGAAAATCTATTGTCCCTAAGGAAAATGATCAAGTGGACAGAGTTTCATAAGATTGTATGCTCTTGCAGCTAAAGTTATTTTCCTACATCATATTTTTGATATCTGCCTGGATACAGTAAGTACCTGCAGAGAGAATTAAAAAACAATAGACTTCACACAATGGCAGCCAAACCAATCAATCATTGAACTGGCGATCCCACGGAACAATGGGCAATAAAATTATCAATCTCTCACATAACTATTTATCTTTAAATCTATCAATGCATAATTGAAAACAGTTTTCTTCTGTAGGTCGCAGTTTTTATTAATTTATTATTATGGTAATAAGTAAACTGGTGAGATACCTATATCGTAAAAAATTATGAAATACTGCCTCACATACAATGGTGACTTTTACCACTATACAGGGTGTTGATTTCAATCCTCGCCATATTTATTTGGGTGATCTGTTTGACTTATCTAAACGCACTATCAACCAAACAAAAATTACAAACGAAAGTGGATTTTTTTGCGAATATTTTCCGTGCCAAATCAACTGTACTGTGGCTCGCAATATTGCAATATGTTTACACTGCGGCACCATCGAGCTACGCGGATCGCTCGCTATCATGTCGGATTTAGCCTACTGAAGGAAGTCACGTAAAGTAGGTAGTGTAAATAGGTATTTTTCTTTGACAAACTTAAGTTAAAGTTCGTTTATTTTCAAAGTTATTTTTTTTATAATAATATGATCTATGATCAGAATAAGCTACATTATCAACTCCCTAAATATGGCGAGAATTGAAATCAACATCCTGTATAGAGATAAATCTTTGTGTGCCTTTAGACAAAAAAGTTAATTGCGCAATCGCAATGATCACTGGTATAAAATTATATTTCCGTACTAACTAAATAACAACATAAAAGCTAGAGTGCTACCGTATTTACTCACAAGTTGGCGCCACTGTCGTGAAACAGGGTGAAGACCTTTCTTCCTTTTTTACTCGTATGTATCTTTGATGTATATCTAAATATATAACTCAAAGGTGACTGACTGACGACATAGTGATCTATCAACGCACAGCCCAAATCACTGGAAGGATCGGGCTGCAGAAATTTGGCATGCAAGTAGATGTTATGGCGTAGGCAGGCATACGCTAAGAAAGGATTTTACGAAACTCCACCCCTATTTAAGGGATCCAAGTCGCGGGCGGCCGCTAGTTAGATACATAAGTGACTTTTTCATCCCACTAAACACGCTCGATCGCGTATATTGCATAACTGTTGTAATAAAACCAGTAATTACAGCAAAAACAAACTCTTTGTGGATGAGTCACGTGCAACAGACGTTATGCGTGATTTTATTGCTATAGAGAAAGCAGTAGCGAGCCCGATATCAGCTGTTTCGTGATGAGCCATCAGGCAGGACGTGTATTGAAATGAAATTAAATAGAATAGTTTATTCAGTACATAAGCCCTTTCCAGGGCACTTATACACGTCCTAAATATACATTGCCCTAACGCCACTTCGGGGCAACATCATCATCATCATCATTTCAGCCGTAGGACGTCCACTGCTGAACATAGGCCTCCCCCAATGATTTCCACAATGGCCGGTTGGTGGCGGCCTGCATCCAGCGCCTTCCCGCTACCTTTATGAGGTCGTCGGTTCACCTTGTGGGTGGACGTCCTACGCTGCGCTTACGTGGCCTCCACTCCAGAACCTTGCTGCCCCATCGGCCGTCAGTTCTGCGTACTATATGCCCTGCCCATTGCCACTTCAGCTTACTAATCCGTTGGGCTATGTCAGCGACGGGGCAACATAATATGAGCATATTACATAGGCACATATTACAAGGTTAGTAACTTTACTGTTTATAACCGAAATCGGTTCAGCTGTTTGGTCTATTGCGGGTTTATACACAGAATAATAGTACCTACGTTTTTTTACAAAATTAAGTGTTAAACTAAAAGTTAAGATACGCTGCTTTGTTGCGTGGACCACTGTAAGAGATTTCGAAACTGTTTTTTTTATGTCCTAGGTTCGATTCCACTTGTGTCACGCTAGATAGTGAGCTGACAGCTGGTACAGCTTAGGGTATGCTTCGGAGAACTGTTTTGGAACTTTGAAGGTACCTTACCTACTTCTTATGTATTTTGCTCAAATGGAAAATGCAAGTAATCGCATCAAATTAATCTGACTACAAAGGACAACTTAATAATAACTCGACCAACACTTAGCTAGGAAACATATCAGTAGATTTAATATCAATTCTGAGCCTTGTTGTACTAAAAATAAAGACTAGTTATTGAAATAGCACGATCGGTGTAGGGAAGTCACGTACGGCGTACGGGTGACGGAAGCAGTGGACGTGAGTGACAGTCGGTTTTCTAAACAACGCATAAATTGTATTCAGTTTTCTATGTTAACGCTTTGGTGTTGCGTAAAAATCTATAGGTTTGGATACCATCTTTTTATTTTATTTTATTGTGACCTAAGTTTTATTCAAATAAGCATGCTATTAAAAGTTATTGGCTACTCGATAATAGATNCACTGATGGCGCTAGTAGTAGTAAAAACAAGTTTTAAAAAATAATTTAATATAATAAACTTTGTATCATTAAACTTATTGTTTGTTTCTTTGTTTCAAGGTAATAGTCCGTATTTTGCAATTTTAATTGTGTAGCGAGTCCTATGAATTTCTTGAAGGTCCACGCACAGATGTCGCTAAGATTGCCTTGCTCCACAAGTTTTTCAACTTGTAAATATTTATGTAGGCCGTTGTCTACAGCAGAATGCAAAGGTTATTACGTCACTGATTCCGCCTCAAAATATCAAGATTCCGCGCAGGCTTTCGAACAAACTTCGCCATGCACCATGCATACCGGCCGAGGTCGAACATTTCTTCTAAGGTGATCAACTCAATTGCTTGAAAAGTTTGTCTACTTTGAACATTATTACCGGGCAATAAAGAAGCCTTTCAATTTAAACTCCTTCGCCATTCATTTCGTTGCGCTCCAAACGATTATCCGCCGTTTTGCCATGTGATAAAACATACAACCGCCCGTCAGTCCGAGATGAAAACCTTCAAGACATTTCAACACCCCGTAAGTTTTAAAACGTATAGCAATGGTGCTAAGGTAGAAAATAGACTAGTAAAAGGTCCAAGAATGTATAAGCCGGTTTTGTAAAAACGCGTTCCCGTTAAGGCGTATTCGTGAGAGGCAACGACCATTTAATTCGTTTGTGTAATAAACCGATCTTCGGAGAATGCTAGTCAACGATTGGTTCGCAACAGTCGTTCTTTCGCCGCGGAAAGGTGCGAGCGTTGCGCGCACGCACGTTGTTAGTGATTGTTTTATAAATTAACTTTTTATGTGGATACGTTCGCGGACGAAGAGAGAAACTGTTTAGTGAACTTTTGCTTACATTTATAAACATTTCAAAGATAGATATTTAGTGGACGTTACCTGTTTTATAGAAGTACAGGTATCGAGTGGAATTTCTTAACACATAAAACGAGTTTTCTTCCCATCGGCTGTATGGATTTTGTAATTCGCATAATTTAGTAATATTCTATCGTTCGTACGTAATTTAGGTGTGTTCGAGTGGATATTAGACCCAATCTTCGAGTGTTTTTTGTTGGAATCCAATTAGAAAGGTAAGTTGTTGCCTACACAGTTGCCGCTTTGTACCTTTGATTATAACTTAAATAGAGTAAGCAGGTGGTTTCTACGATACCTTTCTGTTGTTTATTATAGGTACCTACTTACTAGTTAGTTGAATCTTGAACCTTACTCTTCCCCTTCCAAATGAATAGGTACCTAACTCTTAAATTCCTAACCGTACCTAACTGGTATTGGCTGTGAAATTTGTTTATTTTTAGTTCCTTGCAAAAAGTTTAGCAATCATTAATTTGATTGCCCGTGGCTAAGAAAATAAGTAACTGGCGTGTAATTAACTTACAAGTCATTCAAAGGAGGTCAGTATAGGAATTATTAAAAATAAATTATGAAATAACATGCAAAAAGTTTTAATTTTGGCTGAACAAATTGCACAATGCGCAGATCTCGAAAGCCAAAAAAGAAACAAAAAAGTTTCATACCTACAACTGCCGAAATATTTGAATTTCGAAGGAACTGGCATGAATTCCAATAATCCAAACAGGTGACAGTCTACAGTTAGTTTGCTAGTACCTACAGTACCCGTAGCACGAATAAATATCGTGGCGCGCGTGCCGCTACGGTGCTAGTTGCGACGATTACGAGATGCACAGGGCATTGGTCTGTAGGTGTTAGAGCATTAACTTAAGAGGGGTGTTCTTCTTAAGGTTTCTTAAGTTTGAATATATCCACATATCGAACTTCAGGAGATGCCAGCAGCCCTTCGAGAAAGGAAACTTACCCAAAGAACACTTTAAACAAATATTGTCATACAAACGCGGGAGATCTTATTGAGAGATGCCTAAGTTATGGCGTCAATCATCATCACCCTCGGAATCTCTTGGTAAATGCCTAAGGTCAGCTTATGAATCGTGTATTAAAGCATTGGAATTTTCTTCATAAAAACTCATTAATTTTTGTAAAAGGCTTTTAATTACACGTCCCAGTATTAACCCTACCACTGCTTCGGGACAATAAATGGGCCATTATCTGAGGCCAGTGCTGAGAAGAAGCAGCGCAAGAAACTCAGTCACTTCTATTGGAATCTTATCCTTCAAGTCGTGTCGACAACAAATCTAACGCCCGTATTCACAAACATTACTATGAAGTCTCACAGTGCGCGCGGAACGCACAGGGTGACACACAAACCAATCACAGAGCTCTATTCGAAGCTGTGCGTTCGATTTCGGCATCGTGGGTCAAGTGAATACGGGGAACAGTCACTACTATTGGAATCTTCTTGTCGTGTCGACAACAAACCTATACAGTGTCAGCCCAAAACTCGGCTACAAGAGTGGCGTTTTCAGTATCATAACCGTAGCATTGGAATAATATTGTAAAAATTGGTGGGCGATATCAAGAGTTAAAACTTAAAACTCTTTTAAAAGAACATTTATTTGTATAGGTACCACGCTTTTAACCCTTCTGGTACAGGATCAAAAGGCACCCCACACAGTCCTATTTGCAAAATATAACGACTTTATTACTAGAAGAGAAACCCACATATTAAATAATAAACATGGTTTACCATGTAGGGCAATTACCATTTCTAGGCAAGTATAGAAGCTTCGAACAAGATTTGCATTTTTATGGACTTGTTGAAGCAAGTAATGCATGATGATTGATGTCTGATACTAATATGGATAAGGCATTCAGTTTGGTTAATTATTTTCTTTAAATAATTGCCAGCACTTCTTTATCTTCTGAACAGTTTCTCACTAAAAAGTGCGTTAGCAATTAGCATAAACTTTGACAACTTATTAGGTCACCAAAACTATCCCAGTCATTTTGTGGCTGCTTGGTTCAGGCAGAGTTCAGTTTCCATTCCATACATAAACTCACATAAACTTGATAATCGCGACAGGTTCTATTTCGAAATCACTAAAGACCGAAGAAAGAACGACGCACAAAAAAATGCTGGAGCGGACCGAATTCGGAGTATTCTTTTTATGTTCTGTGGTTAAAACTGTCACTTAAGATAGCTACTTACTTTTTCCAGGGAGGCTGGTAGCAATTAAAATCAACGGTGCCAGAAGTAAACCATAGAAAAAAAGGATAGGTAGTAGTTAAGCATTGGGTTTGCTAATGCCGTGTGTGTAATAATCTTAATTGATTAGTTAAGTTCGCATAGCAGGCGAACGACTAGCGGTTTGCACGCAGTCGTCATAGGCACCCCATAATCAAGCGAGTCGCTGAAGCATCGCCAACCGGGACTTCATTATACACTGAGAAACCCCATGAAATTCCTCAAGCAAAAACCATGCGGAAGAACATTCCAATGCATTTCCATCTACTTGCATAATAAATACAGTGAGGGGGAAAGAACAATAAAGATTAAACTTCTGAGTTTCTTGCGCTGCTTCTTCTCAGCACTGGCCCATTTGTTGTCCCGAAGCAGTGGTAGGGTTAATACTGGGACGTGTGAAAGAACTTTTTTAACACGATCGTGCAAAAATAAAATGAGTTTTATGAAACCTAGCCTTTAATATATTAATGTGACTCTACTTGAAGGATTAGATTATTATCTATCTCCGATATTAGAAAACAAGCAAATACCTAGGGCGCATCATTCTAATGTTTGTAGTAGTTAGGTGGAATTTGTGAAGTTTATAAAAACCTCAATTTAAGACCGCAATTAAAACTAAATTAATAGACCTAAATAGACTGCTCTAAATTAAAATAATAATAATAAGAAACGTCAGTAACGTTGTTTGAAATTTATCTTTTTTGCCTTTTAAAAAATGATTTAATTACGTACAACTTCTATCAACGTTTATTCTATGAGTTACAAAGCTGAACAATCGATGAGTACCTTTTATAGTTTTCACAAACAAGTTTACAAGGAAATCCAATTTTATACCGCTCTTATCTAATAATTTACCATAATTCATTGCAAGACCAATGCCTATTGCATTTAAAATTAGTTCTTAATGAGTAAAACATCTGCAAATTAATAACAAAACCAAAATGGACGCGTGACTCCCCAAGGTTATTGCAAATAAATGTAAATTATAAAAACAATGTTAGTTTGCAATTAGCATTCGTAATAATTAACGAAAAGTTATAACATTGAGTTTGAGACAGACAGTAAGCAACGCGTTGGTAAAATGCATATTTTTTGCACAAAACAATTTAGAATAAGGAAGTAAACCAAAATAATGCTCTGTACACCTAGGTGTACCTACTTATTTTTTTGGTTAATTATTTGCATTAATCGATCAATTGAGCAATCGGAAATATGATTTTTTTTATACTCAGGTACTTACACAGACTTAGTAAGTTTTACGAACCGCGAAATAATGTTAAAAGTCCTTAATTTTCTATAAAAAATATTTTATTTGTAGAAAACACTTGACTACCGATCGATCAATCAAGTGATTAATAAATTATTTATTTTATTCTATTACAAAAACCATAACTCGAAAACATTTACGTCTATTCGGCTTATTTATATTTAATAGTCTTGTCGCAGAGGTCAAACTTAAACGGCTTGAAATGATTCCAGCAGCCTTCGTGGTAATGGCGTCCGCAAACATTGCGTAATAGATCTTCTTGTAAACACGAGATTTGAACACGATTAGAAACGTGTAGATTTCTTAAAACATAAAAAAACAATTGAAGAATTAAGTTTATTTTCAGAAGTAATACAGACCTATAGGTTTTATGTAGAAACTTACAAACCCCTTGTGCACTATCCGGCTCGAAGGACCAGAAAAAAATGCTAAACTATATAACTGTCCAGCTCCAAGGACTATTCTTCGATATTGCTGTGGGCCTTTGTAAAATCCGTCTTCTTAATTACCTACGATTGAATAAGAATTTAGAAACGGTAGACCGTGGAAGGTTTTCCGCAACTCTACTGACTATTGAGCATTTCAAAGGTAAATCTTCTTTATTTATTATTCAAGAGGTTTAGAGTTAAAACCCGTGGACATGACAACACGATTGTGTAGAGAGATTAGCGATTTACATAAAAATAGGAGTTATGCAAGGGAAAGTTGTCGGTTGTCGCCGGGTTGTCTGTCATACGCGTAATCTTTGTAAATATTACCCAGTTTACGCATGTTTGTTCATAAAAATGACAAATAGTCTACCACCAGCTACCCATTTTGGGTTTTTCTTTCGCTCTCATCAAATGAAATTCTTTGCGATAAAACGAGACGATATGACTTGAAATGGCTTTACTAGATCGTTTCATCTCGAAGACGCGCCCCACCATTCTTCCGCTAATGTTTGAGTGTTATCGGTACACGCTAAATCATCCATGAGTGCACACGCACACTACAATAATGATTCTCGAATTGAATTGGAAACGATCTATAACTATTAGACTAGTATTATATTATCTGTGCTATTAGCCAGCTGAAACTGTGCACCATCATTTCAGCAAAAATAAATTACAGTTGTAGTTGACACCATCAGTCAAATGATATGGGTATTTTTATGAGCTGTAAAAACGCTATTTCATCATAGAACATGGTAGGGCAATAGGTTTTTCCGTGCAAAACACTTGATTGTTTTTTAGAGAACTTAGTAAGAGTTGTACAGTAAAATTATACTTAGTGGGCATATAAGTTTAAAATCTTCCCTGTAGGTAACACCAAAGTAAATTTTCATTGCTTACACTGCTGAGAAAATCGTACAAACCTTGTATGAAACTGTACCTCTAGTAGGAAAAACTTTCGAGTTCGTTTCGTTGCGTATTCAAAGTGTCATCGAAAAATTTTGTATGAAAAATTAAACAGCGCCCCCTATATTATAGCCGCCCTAGGGGGCGCTGTTTAATTTTTCATACAAAATTTTTCGATGACACTTTGAATACGCAACGAAACGAACTCGAAAGTTTTTCGTACTAGAGGTACTGTACCTCTATCATGAACAACTTTCGTCTTCGAATCGTTTTCGTATTCGACAAATTTCTCACACCAAGTTCACTTAACAACACGTTCACAAGGGCGATGTTGTAGTTTTCTTACTAAAACTTTTGATGTCGATTCGA